TTGGAAAACTTTAACAACGAAAGCTCAAAAATACTGTACAAAAAATAACAAGATGAAAAACTTATATGCGAAATCTTTGATAGTGTAGAGGACTAATATAACTATATAAAAAAATGTAGTAGCAGAAGAAGTGGGCGATTATGAAAAGACAGCACAAAGAAAACCCTTTTGGTTGAATGAAGAAATCGAAGTGGATATAAAAATCAAACGTGATAAATACGACACATTTCTAAACAAAAAAACTAATTATGGTACTCACGAATACCAAATAGCTTAAAGAGAGGTACGAAGGGCAATAACCTAAAAGAAAAACAAATGCTGGACAAAAAACTGCTCCAGAATTAACACGTATCTGAGAGGTAGCAGAAGTACCGAAAGATGAAAGTACTTAAATATCTTCGAAAAAAAAAGACGAAAGATATCATCTCTTCCATTAGAATACGTAAATGGAACAAATACTTTTAAAAACTGCTGATGGAAGAAAGGACAAAATATCTACAAACATCACAAACACACTCTTATTTAAAAGTAAATACATAAAAGCATCCCACTTAGAATTGACAGTAGTGAAGTAACACAAGTCTGTCAAATGTTAAAAAACGAAAAATCATCAGGTCTAGGTAATATCCCACCCGAACTACTAAAATACGGAACCAAAAAACTATACAGGTAGCTAACCAGCATGTACCAAAAAAGGATAAATGAAGAGAATATACCGGAAGAGTGGAAAACATCAGTTACATCAACCATAACTTAAAACACATGTGACAACTACAGAGGAATAGCATTGTTAGGCACGGGAGGAATAGGGGATGTTAGAGGAATAACATCTCGAGAGTTTACGGAAAATTAATAAAAAAGAGAATAGAGGGACAATACAGTGATATGGTCGCCGAAGAACAGATAGGCTTTAAAGCAGATAGAACTACTATTGACCATCTTTTTACGTTTACCCAACTTAAAGAAAAAAAAAGTACAGCACAAAATCAAGTAACATACCTCGTATACGTAGATCTTTAATAAGTATACGACAGTGTTCCACAACCAAACCACTATATCACTTCCGAGAACGATTTCCGAAGTGAAAATTGAAACGTCAATAAACGTATTTTTATCTTTAATTGTGACTTATTCCCAGTTAAATAGTAATTAATTTAAAATGCCACAAGAAAATAGCTTCAGAACAAGATCAATAGATAATTATTTTGACCTATGTACCTCTTAACAAAAAATATTTTTCCAACTCTGACTGTGACTGTGAGATTGAAAAACTAAATTATACATTTAGATAAACATAAAATAGAAGGACAGCAATTTCAACTTAAATAAATAAACATTTATGCTTCCGCCTAATCTCTTCGCTATAAAGACATAATGGAATTCAATAATAACCAAGCCACCTACGTTGTATTTATATTATTAAAGTATTAATTAAGTGACTGTTTTTTACCAGGTAATTGAGTGCTTTATGTGTTTTGTATACTGTTTTGCTTATTTTATGGCTGTGTTTATATATATGCGCAGACAATCTGTCTATATACCAATTTCGTGTTCAGATTAAAATGAGTATAATTTTGCCTTTGATTCTATATAGTGGAAATAACTGCTATTTTAGAAAAAGAAACAAGTCTCTAAGTGTATGCCCTGGAAGAATTTATTTTTATTTTTCAAATTATGTTTTTGGAAGCAATAAACAACTAAACTACATAATTTTTTTGTTAGGTTTAAAATTCAAGCATTAGCAAAAGGATTTTACTACTTCAGATGTTAACAAAAGTAAAATCGAACATGATGTAAACGATTGTATGGAGGTAATGAGATCAACTGAAAATGTTAAGAAAACATGGAAATTATTTCGCAAAATTATGACCAAGATACTAGATGAACATATTGCAACATAGATTCAAGAAACAACAATGGATGACAGAAAAAATACTAGACTTTATGGAACAAAAAAGACAATACATAGACAGGGTGGGCGAATATAAAAGAAAACAAATAAAAATAAAAACGTGCGAGCGGCTAAAAAAGTGGATGATGGATCGATATACAGAACTGGAAGAATTAGAATAGAAACGTGACATGTTCAATATGCACAAGAAATTTCGTGAAGCGGATAGCCTGTATAGTAAGAAAAACACTAATATTTTAGTAGATAATACAGGAAAAGTTATTATTGATAAACGAGAAATACTTGAAACATGTAGTAACTATATAACTGAATTGTTTCACGATGAGAGGCAAAACATACACAGTAATATAAATCATTAAAATCCTGTTTCTTATTAAAAAAGTTCTTCACGCAAAAAAATCAGATGAGATCAGACAGTATTCCAGCTCAGCTCTTAAATATGACACAAAAGGACCATATCAGTGCTTTAAATGAGCTTTTTAATGATTTGTATACTATTGGTGAAATACCTAAGGAATGGCTTAAGTCTGTTTTCACAGCAATTTCGAAGAAGCAGCGGATACAAGATGTGATGGATATAAATTAGTTACTCTGGTGAGCCACATATTGAAAATTTTTCTATGCATTATTCGTTAAAAAATAAGAAATCATTACGAAAGATACCTAGATGAAAGGAATACACTGGGTACGCGTGAGGCACTTGTTGGCTTAAATGTACTGTTCCAAAAATGCGGCGACCAACGTAGAGAAATTTATGTGGCTTTCATCGATAACGAAAAGGCTTTTGATAGGGTACATTATGGAAAGCTTTTGAATATATTAAAAACCAAAGACATTGATGGTATAGACCTACGTATCATAGAAAACTTGTATTGGAAGCAGAATGCAGTTGTTCAAGTTAATGGGAGATTAACTGACAAGTGTTACATTCAAAGATCAGTTAGGCAAGGATGCATTCAATCCATGCTGTTCTTTAATTTCTACTCGGATATAATTTTTAAACCAGATTTGCAAGATAAAGACTGTGAAGTGAAAATCAATGGTATACTGATTATTAATCTCAGATACGATAACAACACTGTTATTTTATGCGATAGTTTTCAGGGCCTTCAAAAGTTAATAAATTTCATAAACACGGCAGGATGAGAAAATGATCTAAAAATAAATAATTTCAAGAAAAAAATTATGATATTAAGTCGCCAACCTAAGTGAGAGAGCTGCTTATAAAGTATATGTAGAAAATAGCGTTTGATTTTCAAATTCATTGATTTTAATGGCGTTTGATTGTATACAGCATACCAAATTAATTACTCTCTTGCAGAGCATTCAACTAGCATGAATGAGTACTGCTCGAAATATAAAACAGTGCTGCATATTCTCTTCCACTGTCTTTAATGCATATTCTAAGAAAATATTTAAGGAGGCTTTAAAAAATCAAAAAGGAATTATCATGGTAGGAGATATAATAAACAATATATGATATTCCGACGATACCGTGATTCTAGTTAAAAACATCGACAATCTCCAGAAAATAAAATAATCAATCGAGACATAGAATGCAGAACTTAGGAGCTGTCGACAAAAATCCATAGTACTAAATATATAATAACCATTAAAGTTAATAACGGCGCAACCCAACTGGAAATAAACCATCAAACGTTGAAAACAGTACAACGATTTAAAAACTTTGATGTTGGATTATCCAAAATTTATAACTGTTCTTTGAAATCAGATGTAGAATTTAACAAACAAGAAACACAATTAAAAAATTTAAGCCTCTATTATTGAATAAAACATTGAATTTGAAAACCAGTGAAAACATTAGAAAATTTTACGTATTGTTTGTACTTTTAATGTATGTGGAACTAAAAATTTTGACGCCGATATTACGAATCAAATCTAGACGTGGTTATGTCAAAGTATACTCAAAATATTGTGGACTGGCAAAACCAGAAATGGAAATGGAACGTACATTAGAATATCTTTGACATCTTTCGTCTAATTCGCAAAGGTAAAATCGAAGGAAAATTGGATAGAACGGAAGAAACTCTCTTGGTTAAGAAATATACACGTAGCCTAAGACTGAGATTAATAACATGTTATAACAAGTGTTAAGTATGGCAGTCGCAGATTTTCAGCAGAAAAAAGTCATTCTAAGAAGAAGAAGAAGAAATAAATAGTTATTTAAAACTACATTTTTGTGAGAATATACCAAACTTATTATTAAAAAAAAATTATAACTGGATAAATCGAATAAGTGACAATAAAAAATGCTGTACTATTAAAGGCTGAACAAATTGGAAGAGCTTTCAAATAACTTCAACAAAGGTGCTTAAGTGGTAGCAGTAAAAGTAGTAAAAATATAAAATTAGTAAATATATGGAAATTATAGCAAAAGAAGGAATGACAAAATAAAATTAATAAAGAAACCAGTTGAAGCTAAAGGAATGGAGAAAAGTATGGCCAGAAAATCTGCCAAACCCACAGTACGACCAAAACTACACCAAACTTAATAATTTACCGAAATAAGCAAGAAATTTTGATAACATTGATAAACATCTGCATTGTCATAAGACACTTTATAGTTCAGACAACATTTTATAATTGATTATTAGTTTACTTAACCCCTTTTATAACTATTTTTAGTTATCTTTATAAGTGAAAGTCACATTTTGTCTCTGTACAAATTAATATTGTCCTCTATATATTTCTGATTTATGAACCACATGAACAGATAAAATAAGTTATATTGTTCAACTTGTGTTGTGTTTCTTATTTAAATTTTAAAACTCCTTGAAATTTATTTTACAAATACAAATTCGAAAAAAATTTCATTAAAAATTAAAAAAAAAAGATTGCAAAACCTTCTTTTTTCGACCCGTGCGTTAACTACCAATTAATCTTTGCGTTTCTTAAAAAATGAAATTATAATCTACTAAAATTATGTGAAAAAATATCTAAATAGTTATAGGTAATTAAAATTCTTATAATAAAGTACCCATTTCTATTGCATGCGTCTTGATTAAAATTTTAGTTTAAACCATCTACAACCCTAACCCCAAAAATCCTCTCGATTACAAACTCCTACCTCCTTTCTTCTGGCACCACCTCTCGCGGCCTTCTCGAATTTCGCGCCGGTCTCGCACCCTCGTACTTGTTCTCCCGTCCGTAGATACTCCCTCCGAAAGGGTCTTCTCCAAGGTAGTACCGTTGGACCGGTGCTTGTCTATCTAACCGATCCATGCTATGGCCTATATTGCTGTCGATGACGTGCCCTTGTTGATACGATGGGGGCGACGGCGACCGTTTGGCACGTTGGCGGGCCTTGCGCTCCGCGCTTGCCGAGCGAATCTTGCCTACTAGCTTACGGATGGATTGGCCTGCAAAGAGAAAGAATTTACAATAATGAGAGTTTCGACAGTGGCGAAGTGGATGAGTAGGATTATAATTTACTATTAATTTTTGTTTATTGTATATTTATACACAATATGCAATAGAGATTACCATTTTTATATATACACTCAGATGTAAAAAAACGCAACGGAGAAAATTTTGGTCAAATTCAAAGTATTTCAGTGTTTTTTATTTTTAGCCCTACTTTGATAATTTCTTTAATACACTGTGTAAAAATTTATAAATTTTAATTTAGTATCTTGGCAAGAATATTGAGAAATAAACTAAATATTTTGTTTGTGGATTGTAGACAAGCATATGATAGAGTCGATAGAGTCAAAATGTATCGAGCAATTGAACATTTGGGTATACCGAAGAAACTGATCCGGCTAGTAAAAATGACATTAAATAACTTTAAGTGTGAAATTGCTTGGCAGGGTTACATATTAGATCAATTTACAGTTGCAAATGGCTTGAGACAGGGAGATCCTTTATCCGCTACATTATTCAACTTAGTGTTGTAAACTATAATCAGAAAATGCAACATGAAGGTGGAAGAAACAATCACGAAAAATGAGCATCAGATAAAGAATTAAGAAGAGTTGTGAAGAAAATCATCAAAGAAGCACAGAAATTCGGATTGGAACTAAATGAAGACAAAACCAAATATATGATCATGGGAGGGACATAAGGGAAAAAGAAGACTTTGGTGTGAGATCTGTAAGTGGTAAAAGCTATAGTTTTAAAAGGGTGGACAAATTTGAATACTTGGGTGTAGTTTTCGATGAAAATGGAAAAGAGAAATGGGATCTCGAAGCCAGAATAGCAAAATGGAATCAAAAATTAGGTAGTTTAAGAGCCCTACTGAACTCAAAATACTTTTCTAGACAAGGTAAACTAAGAATATATAAAACAGTAATTCGACCCACAGTAACATATGCCGGTAAGACATGGATAATAAATAAGAAGGAAAAGGATACTCTGGATAGATGGGAAAGGAAAATATTGAGGCGCATATTCGGAGGACGGAAGACAGAAACTGGTTGGGAAAGAAGAACCAACAATGAATTAATGGCTTTATACAAAGAACCTACCATTTCCAAGATCATCAAGTCACAAAGAATCAGATAGTTGGGACATGTGGAAAGAATGGCAGCAAACAGAATGCCTAAACTAGTAATAACCAGAAAACTAATCGACCCCAAAAGAAGAGGCAGATCAAGAACAAGGTGGATTAGTAAAGACCTTAAACACGTGAAGGTGAGGGACTGGAAAAGAAAAGTACAAAATGGAAGCGAATGGAGAAATATTGTCCAACAGGTCCTTCAGAGTAGTTAAGAATGTTGTATATACATATTTAAGTTAAAGTTTTGTATAAGATAATTGTAATTAGTTAATATTAGGATTATGTTTATTGCCCTAGGCCTTAATGGCCTGTTGTGCGTAAAAAAAATAAATAAATAAAAATAAATTTAGTATACTGTAAACTCTATATAGTATAGTAAGTTTGTTAATAAAAGTTTGTATTTGACTTATTTCACAGGGTTAATCGAAAGGTGGTTTTTTATCCTAACTTTGAAACATCCTGTGGAATAATTCCGTAGGCAGATTTTCTCGAAACCTTGTTTTTCGGATGCAACCATGTCTTCTTTGTGTTATGTTTTTTTCATGTGAAAATATGGATTGGTTTATCCACAATTTAAGACTTTTGCTATTATTACCATTGCCTTTTGTATTACTTTGTAATACGACGATGGGGGGCTTTGGTGACTGATATCGAAGAAATGTCATATCGACATCCCAGAAGCAGTGTATTTAAAGAATTATTAAAAGCAACGACGTGGTTTTGGTTTTAATGAACAATGATAACAATAACAAAACATAAATAAAACAACTTAAATGTAACTTAACATAAGTACTCAAATAACAAAAAAAAACTACTAAAAAATAACATAATACTTTGTATTGCCTCCCCTTACTTCTATAACTACCTGTGTACATTGGCTCATGCTGTCTATGAGGTTGCGAATATCATTTTGCTGGATGTTTTGCCATTCCTCTTCTAGATCCAAGCAAAGTTTGTTAATTTAGGCTGGTGTGAGCAGACATTTCTACCAGGCATGTTCCAAACGTGCTTTATTGGGTTCAGATCTGGCAAACACGCTGGCCAGTTCATTTTATTAATACCAACTTCCTCTAAATATTGCGTGACACGTAGAGTGGGGTCGCACATTATCTTGCATTAATAAAAAATCATCGCCAATATATTGAGAAAATGGTACTACATTATTTGCTAAAATTTCCTTAATATACCGGTGTGCATCCAACGAACCCTCAATAAATACCAATTCAGTGTGCGCCTCTCGGTATATTCCTGCTTGCTGTCCATACCATCACTGAACCCCCTCCATGGCTAACCCGGGGACTAAAAGCGCACTCCGCAAATTTCTCTCTATTCGTCATACTCGTTTCCTCCCATTTGATTAGTGAAGACAGTATCTTGACTCATCCGTAAAAACAACATTGTAATGTAAATGTTCCCTAAAAAATTGTAGTATAGCCACTATGTGCCGTGGAAGTAATTTGGGCCCAGTTGCTGGTGTACAACTTTACAAACCAAATTCATGTAATTTTCGACAAACTGTAAATACACTTACATTATTGCCTCGAATCTCTTGAAGTTTATGTATTGTTTGCACTGCTGTTAAATGACGATCCCGCAAAGCGTTGACTCGCATTAAACGATCATCTAAAAGGGTAGTTTTGCGCTTCCTGCCATTTCCCGGTTTACGTTTGTTTGTTCCAATTCGTATAAAACATTCCACTAACCTTTGGATGGTATAGCAATGAGTGTGTAGTACTCCAGCCACATATTCATAATTTCGCCCAACTTCAACCAGAGTAACGGCTATTGCACAATCGTCGAGACTAAGAACCATGATCAATCATGGATAAACAAAATGTAAGTGTCAATATGACATAATGATAACAGTACTAATGCACCTCATCGTATTACAAAAAACTCCAAAATAACTATAATCAAAAAAGTTCTAAATTGTGGGTGGCAAATTCATTTGGCTCTAAAAAATGAACCAAGGCATATTTTGACATGAAACAAAAAACACAATGCTTGGGAGACATGGTTGCAACCGAAAAATAAGGTTTTACGAAAATACGCAAACGGAATTATTCCACAGGATGTTTCAAAGTTTCAAAGTTAGGACAATAAAACCGCGTTTTAATTAACCCTGCACAATAAGTTAAAATAAAATTTTATCAAAAAACTATTTTACACCAAATTTAAATTTATACACAGTGTGCTAAAAATCACTAATACTGGGCTAAAAATAAATTTTTTACTTATATATATATATATATATATATATATATATATATATAAAGTAAAAATATATATATTATTAAAATAGGTAGGTATTTAAAAATTATCGAAAAAGAATTTATAAATTTTCAGAACGTTTTCTATTCTATCAGATTATCATGAGTGAAAAATGTCTATACAGTAGTTGGAACTAGCCATATAATAAGGTCAGATGACCCTTACATTACATAATTTGAATCACTTCTTCTTTTTATTCTATTCTTTTATGTAGACATGACTCTGTTTGTTTTTTAATGTGGCTCCAGTAAGTTTTCGTTCCATCGTTTTCGTGGTGTTCCTAACGAATCGTCTTCCTATTTTACAACTGTCCCTTGCCGTCTTTACTACTACATTTGTTGCCATTCGGCTCATATGCTCATTCCATTCTACTCTTCTATTTCTTAACCAGTCTTTGATGATCTACGTCGTAAATATGTCCTTCAGGCTCTGCTGTTTCTAACATTTTTTTGTCCTCTCTATATAGGTCGTGTTTCGGCCGCCTATGTTATTATTGGTCTGATGTCTATTTGTGAATTCTGCCTTTCGTTTCTTTTCCGATATTTTTATTTCTCCAAATTGTTTCATTCAGGCAACCTGCGGCTCTCTGTTTGCTCTATTCAATTGATCTTCCACTTCTGTTTCGAGCTTTCCGTAGCTAGATAATGTGATGCTTAGAAATTTAAACTTCATCACTTATTCTATTATCTGACGTTCCAGCTCCAATTTACATCTTAGTAAATTTGCTGTTATAACCTTGGATTTTGTCTTTTTTGTGGAAGCATATCTTGAAAATCATCTTTGCTTTGAGAGAGTAGTATTGCCTTGTCTACATAGCAGATTATTTTGTTGTTTTTCTTCCACTTGTTATCCTTTTCTAATTATTGTTTTTTTATTTTTCATCCATAATCAGGTGGAACAAAACAGGACTCAATGATTCTTCCTGTCTTATCCTATTGGCATCTTCAATAGGGTCAGTTAGTTCTTTTACTTTTAATTTTACTTTTACTTTTTTATTTTGTTGTTTTGGTAGATATTTTCTATAGTTTTGATTATTCCTAAAGATGTCTCTGTTGCGTACAATAAGTGGATAACGTGCTTTATTTGACCCGGTCAAATGCATTTTAAGGTCCACGAAACATAGATATGCCGTTTTTTTGTATTCCAATGATTTCTCTTGCACTTGCTTAATTATAAATATAGCGTCGGTGCATGATCTTCCCGATCTAAAACCTTGTTGTTGTTCTGCTAATGTTATAATTTAATTTAATTTATTTGTTATCATTTTGGGTGTTAATTTTAGTGTTGTCTTTAATAAATTAATTCCTCTGTAATTTCCCCGTCCGATTTGTCTGCCGTTTTGAAGAGATGTATCTTCTTCTTCTTTGTCAGCCATTTTCCATCCACTCCTGAATGTAGGTCTCTCCCACTTGCTTCCATTTTTCTCTATCTTGCGCCAATCTAATCGACCGTTTGCCTGTCACTGCTCTTATGTCATCTACCCATCTTTTTTGAGGTCTTCCCATGCTTCTTGTTGTCGTTCTTGGTCTCCATTCTAGAATTCTCCGTGTCCACCTGTTGTCATTATATCGGGCTACGTGACCTGCCCAG